TTTGACTCTTGTGAATAGTGCTGTTATAAACATACTTGTACAAGTTTCTGTTTGAACACCTGTTTTCAGTTCTTTTGGGTACATACATACCTAGGAGAGGAATGACTGGGTCAGAAGTTAATTCTGTGGTTACCAGGAACCTCTTACACTTGCCATCTCCGATCCTCACCAGCATCCTGGGTCTGCTTGGCTGACGTCATCACTGGCTTTGTAGAAGGAACCTGTTTATCTTGATATTGTCTCCTGATGGCAAACCCTAAAGGGTGTTCCTAGTTTTTTTTATATCAACTTCTGGCTGTTTAGTGTTTTCCATTGTCTAAGCTATTTCAGATCCTCTATGTAATTTGTTCCTCACAGCAGTATTATAAGGTAGATAGTATTATGTCTGTTTTTCAGATGAGGAGGCAGAGAGTCAGTAAGGTGAAGTAACTTGACAAGGTCATAGCCATTAGGGCCCAGCTGAGACGGACTCCCAGCCCAGGCCCTTTCCACACCACCATGGTGGCCCTCTCTCCAATTTGCCTCTCTGTCCAAGGTCTTTAAAAAAAAATAACCTCCTGAAATTTATTCTCAGATTCACATTTGCTTAGAATTCCTCTTGCTAGGTGATTAGTCAATGCTGACACAGACTTCCACACACACTCTGCCAGGGATCTCATTTATAATCAAAACGTTTTCCTAGGGCAGATTCTGCCTGTACTTTTGCCTTTTCTGGGTCTTATGTGAACTGGAATCCTGGGTTAATGCCCCTTTTTTAATATGTTTTTTAACTGATTTTAGAGAGAAAGTAGGGAAGGGAGAAAGAAACATCAATGAGAGAAAAATATCCATTGACTGCCTCCTGCAAGTCCCCTACTGGGGATGGAGCCTGCAACCCTGGGGAATGTGTCCTGACAGGGAATCAAACCAGTGACCTCTAGGCAAACAGGATGCTCAACCAACTAAGCCACACTGGCCAGGTCAATGCTCCTTTTTGATGAATCTACATCTGAGTGTGGCCCACAAGCTGAACCTCAGCTCTTGAAATTTCCACCCTATTCTTTTGTAAACCCAAGTTCAACCAGAGAGCGCCTCCTTTCCCTTCTCAGGGGGACACTATATCTTGGACTGGGGAGTCCCTGTACCTCTTTGGAGCAGAGAAGAGGCACAATGACCTCAGTGGAATTGGGTATGACACAATGGAATTGGGCCCAGCCTGCTGCTTAAAACCTCGAACCCTAGCACTTCCTACTTCCACATGGAAGGCATGGGAGACTAAAAATAAGGCAAGCAAACTAGACAACAGATAACAACGACAAAACTCAAAATTCATCAAAGGCATACCATGTCCCTGACACTTTGGGCATATTCATTCCCTCAATCCCCCACCTACGGTATACTATGGTGAGTGCTAGCTTGCAATTAAGGAAACTGAGGCTCAGTGTGGTGCTGTGACTTTTCCAAAGTAACAGAGCTGATGGATAGCCAAGTGGGATTGGAAACCCAGGCTATCCCCACTGGCCACTGTCTGCATCCCAGGGAGATGCTTTTGAGCTGACCTGGCCCACTCAGCACCTGCCTGGGGAGTTCTGCAAGCAGTGAGGGCTTTCCAGATGCCACATAATCCACCTGCTTCCTCTCAAACAAGTGTGTCCCTAGCCAGCTTTTCCCAAAGCCTGTTCTCTGCCACCCTTGTTCTCAGCGATGTTGTTAGGAGCTGTGAAAATGCAGGCTTCCATGTTTCAATACATTTGGGGATATTAGTATGAGACAGGCTTCTGTCCTGCAAGCCTTTAATAAGAAAATATCTCCAAGAGGGCTAGAAAGTAGTACAGAATGTTTCTCAAACTTATTTGACCAGGGAATGGTTTTTCAAGGTCTCAACGTGACCTCCTCAAAGCACTAGTCAGAGACCCTCTCCGATGAGTGCGTGGCCAGAGGTGAGAGAGCAGAGTGGTTGTGCACGTGGGGTCCGGAGCCGGGCTGCCTGGGGTCCCATCCCAGCTGTGCCACGTGGTGACTGTGTGACCTTGGGCAAGCTACTCCATCTGTCTGTGCCTCAGTCTCCTCACTTGATAATCACGGATAAGAATATGCATGCAGATTATGTGACACACATCAACTCCTGAGAACAATGCTTGGCACATGTTCAGAGCTCATTCAATGTCAGCTGGCATTTTAACTCCTTCCAGAGCCTTGCTGAAGGGGATTTCCCACATCCATCAGAGACAGAGTCTGCACCTGGCACTCCCCCCATCCCCCCACCCTCCCCCCCCAGGCCACAGCACCACTTGTTCTATAAGACCTGAGAACAATGCAGGAAGACAGAGCAAAGCAGGTTAAAAGACTGCCATTGTTCCCCAGGAGTAACCCTTCCTGCTCCTGATGGCTGGGAAGGACTTCTACTTTGTTTCTTCTTCCCCACAGATGGACACCTGAGAGTCAGAGACTGAGATTCTAAATCCAACTTACTCTGCACTGGGATCTCGAGTTCCCTTCCCTATACCAGAGAACAGAACAGGCCTCTAATCTAGGAACATGGCCCAGAGAGGGGTGGGGTTAGAGCTCTAGGCAGGCAGAGAAGCTGGATGGCAAAGCTGCAGAGAGGGGACAGCACCGGTGACGGTAGTAAGTGTCCTCCCCTTTGCGAGAAGCAGGAGAGGGAGCCCATGGCCAGAGCGCTTGGGTATTAAATTGGGATCATTAACAGTAGTTGCTGCAACAGACCCAACATCTCAGTGGCATTGAAAGTACATCTTGCTGACTTATGTCTAATGCATATTGGGATGGCCACCTCCGCCCTATAGTGAGAAGTTCTATAACAGAAAACCCTAAGGGAACATATAGTCAGCATTAAGTGGGATGCCAAGAATTCCTGGATGACCCTGCTTGCCAAAGCCTTTTTCCTCTGTTGGCCAATTGATGCTCCGCTCTGCCTTGTTGCAGATAAAAGACCCTGATGGAGGGCGTGCCTTTGCTTCTGAATGAATTCTCCCAGTTTTTCTAGGACTTCCTAATGCCTAGCCCCCAGAAGGCCTCAGGCTCTGCAGGAGCTGGTATTGACCTTACTAATTCTCTGCCCGTGGCAGAGATGGTTAGCGCTTCCTGAATCTTCCTGTGCTCTCTGCAGTTCCCAGACTCGCTTGCAGTTGGTTGAGGGTGTGTGACTAGCTCTCGCCAACAGACTGTGTGTCACCTCTGGGTTGAGGCCAAGAGCCCTCTGCCTCCTGCATCCATCTCTCCCTCTGCCAAGATGGCTCTGGAGGCCAAGTGCTCATGGGAAAGCTGGAAGAACTAACTCAGAAGCTGATGCAGCCCCCTCCCGGGTCTCACCTCTGCACTAAGTGGCAGAGAAAGCATTGACTAGGGAAGAGAGAACAGCTTTGGCAGGCGGGGCCATCCAGGAATTGTTGGCATTTACATAGCCATTTCATGCCAGGTATTTCTTTCCTATAGGATTTTCTGTTATTAGACTTCTTGCTGTAATTTGGGGTATAGTGTGCCCTGTGATTCAAATATTCCCAGTAGTACATGGCCACTGTGATAGGCAGCTTGCCTCCGACTATAGCGTGAACATGAATTACCTGGGGGTCTTGCTGAGCCTCAGATGCTGACTCCGGAGGCCTGAGTCTGTGTTTCTAACAAACTCCCAGGCGGTGTGATGCTGCGGGTCCCTAGACAGTGCTCCGGATGTAAGGTGATGGGGCAGGGCTGACCTCCAGAAAGTCTGGGAGGAACAGTGCCCGGGGCCCACAAAAATGTTCTCATTTCTTTTCAAATCAGAAGACAACATGAACTATTTAGTCCAAGAAAATGTTTCCATAGATAACATTGATAAATTTATCTACACCGACAGAGTTATAAAATAAATTTCTTTAAGTACAAACATGCCTAGGGCCCCTAAAAATCCTAACATGTCCCTGGGGGGTGGGATGGGAGAGGCTATGCTACCTGCAGAGCACAGAACTGTGAAATCATGAAGGTCACACAGAAAACACAAGAGATGCCGTCTGAGGACGTGCCATGCACATGGTAGTTAGCTGCCAGACCATGTCCCTGGGTCTCCTCACTTCCCCAGAGCTTCTCCACTTAGAGAGTTCTTAGGGGTACTCAATGTCTCCTGAAGGCCCACCAGATTCTGATGCGTGTGAGGTTCATCTCTTCCAAAGGACTGGAATCCAATTGTGTCCCTGCCCCCCACTGCTCCCAGAGCTGGAGAGCCCGGTGCAGCTGGCCCTATGGTGTGAGGGGAGTGGGACCAGGCTCCAGAGGCTGCTTTTGTTAGTGACAAACACAAGACTACCGTCTCTGATCTGAGCAGCAAATGTCCAAAGCTGAGAGGCAAATGCCTTGTTAACAGGAGAGTGAATAGGCATTCCCTTCAGGAGTGAGTGTTTCTTAAAAACACAGCCTCCCATTTACTTTGGACCTGGTGCTGGTTCTGACTGCCCCTAAAGCCACTGCACGGGGCTGTTAGAGAATGAGCAATAATAGCTGAGTCTTCTAACACACCTGCAGCCCTCCCTGTCACAGACGCAGTGTCTGACACCATTATTGCTCTGGGGTGGCTTCAAACATGAGACTACGGGGGTGAATTGCTAGGCTTGCGGTTCTCAACCTGTGGGTCGCGACCCCTTTGGCGGTCGAACGACCCTTTCACAGGGGTCGCCTAAGACCATCCTGCATATCAGATATTTACATTACAATTCATAACAGTAGCAACATTACACCTGTGAAGTAGTAACAAAAATAATTTTATGGTTGGGTCACAACATGCGGAACTGTATTTAAAGGGACAGAAGGTTGAGAGCCACTGCTTTAGGGGGTAAGCAGTTCCCAGATGAGGAAACCAAGGCCTGGGAAGGAAGAAGTGATTTTGCTCAAGGGCATAACATCTAAGACTCAGAGCCAAGCCTAGATCCCCAGACCCCTGCTTATATACTGTCTTCATTTCAGCTTACAAAGTGGCAGCAGAAATGGTACTGGAAGACTTTCACTGACTTTCCTCTCCCCTTTCTTAGGAATGAGCTGCCTGCTAGGAACACACATTCATTCTGCTGTGCTTCACCTGCTCCAAGATTGAAAGGAACCTGCCTCCAGCAGAGGGCACTGGAGAGGGCCGGGGGTAAGTCCGCTTCATTCAATATTAGAAAGCCTACTTGCCTGCAGGTGTAAACCACATTCTCCAATACCAGCTTTCTGCCACAGGTGATATTAGACTGACTTCTCAACAAGCCTTAGAACTTAATCAAAGGAGGGAGGTGATGTTCACTGGGCCTCCTTACTACCCCACCAGGCACCAATGGCCAATCATCTAAAGAATAAGTCTGCCACTCTCCTTGGAGCATTAAATGGAGGTGAGAATGGGACCCAGGATTATGGGCAGTTTGAACCTCAAATCCAGTGCAGAAGTCTCCTGGATGGAATCTGTGAAGGGGGATAGACAGAGGCTAGGAACAGTCTCAGCTAACGTTTACTGGGTGCCAAGAACAGACACTGGGCTAAGGAATTTAACCCTGCAAAGTGGGCACTACTTTATCTCCGTTTTACAGGAGGGGAAGCTGAGGCTTGAGATGAGGTGTACAGCGGGTCAGCAGTGGCACTGTGCTGCCTCCAGCACGTGGGGTCCTCTCCCACGGTGACAATGTGGGGAGAGTGGTCAGTGTTGAACTCACCCCCAACATGGGGCCAATGCTCTTTTGACTACACCTGCATGAGCAAAGTCAAGGGTGTTTCTGGTTTTCTTCTCTTTCTGATGAACTAGGAACCTTGGACTCTCTGGAAACATCCTCTCTGTTACCTTGTCAGTGGCAGAACTCCCTATGGCCTCTGTGTGTCCTTTCCAGGGTGGCCACCCCGTCCCATACCTACAGCCCCACCATGAATAATGTATCTTCTCGTCCTCTGAGCCTCCTGACAGCCCACAGGTTCCTAACTTTCCCTGGTTAGCCGGGATGGCTCAGCTTCCCCACACCTGCACTCACTGGTACCCCTACACATAGAACCTGGTTTCCTCTAAGCCAGCGTTTCCTAAACTTGAGTCATCTGCACACCATCCTCATAGTTTCTGCCACGTCTGTGTGCCACTTATGCATTTATTGATTTAATATTCTTTAATTTGGCTAGCAATGAGCCCGAAAGCCAGGGTTGAAATGCCAGCTCTGTGTTGTTGAGCAAGTTACTTAATCTGTCTATGCTTCAGTTTCTCCATCTGTATAACAGGGATAATACTGGTAACTACTTTAAGGGGTTGCTATAAGGATTAAATGAAATGTTGCAGGGAAAGCATTAAAACAGTACTTAGCAGCCCGGCTGGGCTCATGAACCAGGGTCATGGTTTGATTCCTGGTCAGAGCACATGCCCAGGTTGTGGGCTCGATCCCAGTGGGGGTTGGGGGGTGCAGAAGGCAGCTGATGGATGATTCTCCCTCATCATTGATGTTTCTATCTCTCTCTCCCTCTCCCTTTCTCTCTCTCTAAAACCAATGAAAACATCTACATATATATAAAAGCCTAAGCAACCATTACGACCGCTCAACCTCTCGACCTGTCTACCGGTCGCTATGACAACGCACTGGCCACCAGGGGGCAGACATTCAACACAGGAGCTGCCCCCTGGTGGTCAGTGTGCTCCCACAGCCAACCTCCTGCGGCCGGCCAACCTCCCTCGGTCCCTCCCCCTGGCTAGCCAGCCCCATCGGCCCAATCAGGACTGGGCTAGATGGCCCTGATTGGCCCCAATCACTGGCCAGGCCAAGGAACCCACCTGTGAATGAATTCGTGCACCGGGCCTGTAGTATTTTTATAAAACAGTACCTACCACACATAAGCACTCTAAGTGTTAGCTACTCTTGTCATTACATTTATTTTAAAAGGAAATTTTATGTCTCTACTGTAAGTGGAAAAATCAGTACCACTTATACCACTAATAGAGAGGAATTGTAAAAGTGAATTAAATGAAAACAGTTACTAAATTCTAGCAATTGCCTGACAAAGGCTCTGGGCCTGAGGCTTGCTCTCATTTTGTCAAGAAGGGTGACACACAAGTATCCAAACGATGGAGAAAGCACTCCAGGCTCAGGCCAGGGGAACCCTTGTCCCGCCTGGCCTGGACTCCCGTTTCAGCACTGGGAATCCTGCGGCACCCCTCACTCCTGGGTGCCTCGGATGGAGGCTTTCTCCTTCAGCAAAGGACCGAAAAGAACTCGAAAGGGAACACCGTTCTTCTGATGTGAGTTTGCGTGCTTAGGCTGAGTCAGTATCCCACTTAGCAGCATCTTGCAGCCCACGCCATGGGCCACACTGAACAAGCCCGTCTCTGAGAGCCAAGTTTCCAAATTCCATAAACATATGGAAAGGCCATCATGAGACTGTCCCCAAAGAAACATTTGTAAATGTCTAACGAGAGGAATGATGATTAAACTGTTGCACAGCTAAAATTACATTAGACAACCATTGAAAAATCATACTTTGAAGTATCTTTAATGACATGAAAAAATGATGGTGATAGAATGTTCACTTAAAAAGCAGACTAAGATGTCCTTCATTAGGTGAGTAGATAAACAAGCTGTGGTCCAGCAGTCAATGAAATATTATTCAGTGCTAAAAAGAAATGAGCTATCAAGCCATGAAAAGACATGGAGGAACCTGAAATGCGTATTACTACATGAAAGAAGCCATTCTGGAAAGGCTACACATTATATGATTCCAATTATATGACATTTTTGAAAAGGAAAACTATGGAGGCAGTGAAATGATCAGTGCTTGCAACGTGTTAGGAGGAGATGAATAGGTGGAGCACAGAGGATTTTTAAGGCAATGAAAATGCTCTATGATGCTGTAATGGTGTGTACGTGTCATTATACATGTGTCTAAACTCATAGAAGGTACAACACCAAGGATGAACCCTATTGTAAGCTTTGGACTTTGGGTAATAATGATGCGCCAGTGTAGGTTCATCAATTGTAGCAGATGCACCACTCTTGTGGAGGGTGTTGGTAATGGGGAGGCTGTGCATGCGTGGAGGCGAGGGTATACAGGAAATCTCTGTACCTTCTATTCAATAATGTTGTGAACTTAAAGCTGTTCTAAAGAATCAAGTCTTTAAAAAAAATTTTTAAAGCTGACTGTAAGACCACATATAGTGAGACCCTAGTTTTATAATATATAGAGACATATAAAGAAACACACCATCTTATTAATAATATTTATCTCAGTGAAAGGATTTGGGAGGGATTTTTTTAAATTTCTTTGTATTTATTTCCAAATAATTTATTTCTTACTTATACCAATTTCTATATTTTCCAAGAAATTTAATAAAGAACATACATTACTTTTATTGCCAGGAAAATTCTTGAGTAAAAATTATAAATAAAAAATTCTAGGAAGAAACTAACCAGAGCTAATTACACCCATTCTTCACAAACTGGTTTTCATATCTGTGGCCGACTGGGAGCAGGGTTTTCTGTCTGCCTGACTGAGTGTCGCCTGCTTTCCGTCTCCCCTGGCGAGGGCCTCACAGAGAAAGTAGGGCTCTCCAAGGTCACTTCCCCTGTTAGGACTCTGGGTCTGAAGGCCCATCCACGGAGGGTACCCTGGGCTATCGCCTGAACTCAGAGTCTGGCCTGCAAGGTGCACAGAGCAAACACAACACTCCCTCTCCCTCTTTTCTTCATTTTTCCATCATTTGGGCTGTGACACATGATAACTGCCCCGAGAGCCAGGCTACTAACTAGAGGCAGGGTGGCAACTAACACACGAAGTGCCTACTTGGGACCGAGGTGGCCTGAGCTGGAATCCCCGCTCACACCTATCAGCTGTGTGCCCGTGGGCATGTCACTTCACCACTCTCACAGCAGTGTCCTCATCCCATCACAGGACTAAGTTAAATAGCCATTCTAGTGCAGATCCTGGCACAAGGTAGGAACTCAATTTATATTGATTTTCTCTCCTCCGTTTACATTTACTACACAAGAACTCAGTTCTCTGTCTCCCTCTCCTGACTCACAAGCTCCCCAAGGGGCAGGGACAGAGTCTGGGGACTCCCAGACCTCTCCTCCCCATCCATCCATGCCTCTGTTCCTCCTCAGTCAGTAAACAGAATCTCCCTGCTGACTGCCAAGCCACAGAGGGCGTGGCTGAGGGGCAGCCCAGTGGCTCCATGGGGCTACACAGGAGCAGTGACAGGGTAGGGAGGGGGTGGATTACTTAAGACCCCCTACTTTGCATCCTCTGAAGCCAGACTAGAAGAATCTGATCATCATGCTTACATACATTATAAACCCTCATGCTTACATGCATATGGCACTGTTTAACCAGATTACACTTTATAAGCATTATGTCCATTTCTACATAAGAAAGAAAAACAGATCCTGAGCATGGTACACTCCAAGCATCATTCTGGGTACAGGACGCACAGGGGAGAATGAGACGATCTCTACCCTCATGGGGCTCAGTCTCCATTCCTGCTGGGTATGTGGGGTACATCCATCCCCTGCATTACCAAGACTGAAAGGAAAGGGTGGGGACATTTTGGGAAGCTGAGAACTGTAAGTGTAGTTAAGCCCACCATGCATGGAATGGATCTTCCTCTCACAGACACATGCAACCCCTCACCCTGAAACTGTAAGCCCCCCCCCATCTAATTAGTTTCAAGCAGAAGGTATTACATGACCATCACTCTCCTCATCTAAGATACTAAATCCCCATCCCCCGCTCTGTGTCTGGGTGGCCTTGGGAAGTCATTTAACATCCCCTAGTACTTGCATCCTCCACTGTAAAACAAAAGTGAAAATAGAGGCCTCATAGCATTGAAGGAAAGCGCCCATGACCCCACACGTAGGAAGTTGAAGGAAGAAGCCCATGACCCCACATGTAGGAAGTTGAAGGAAGGAGCCCATGACATCACACATAAGAAGTTGAAGGAAGGAGCCCATGACATCACACATAGGAAGTTAAAGGAGAGAGCCCATGACCCCGCATGTAGGAAGTTGAAGGAAGGAGCCCATGACATCACACATAAGAAGTTGAAGGAAGGAGCCCATGACATCACACATAAGAAGTTGAAGGAAGGAGCCCATGACATCACACATAAGAAGTTGAAGGAAGGAGCCCATGACATCACACATAAGAAGTTGAAGGAAGGAGCCCATGACATCACACATAAGAAGTTGAAGGAAGGAGCCCATGACATCACACATAAGAAGTTGAAGGAAGGAGCCCATGACATCACACATAAGAAGTTGAAGGAAGGAGCCCATGACATCACACATAAGAAGTTGAAGGAAGGAGCCCATGACATCACACATAAGAAGTTGAAGGAAGGAGCCCATGACATCACACATAGGAAGTTGAAGGAAGGA